GCTTTTTATTAAGTTTCAAAATGCATACAAGTATGATAATAAACTAATTAGGTGAGTGAGATTAGGTTTTAGCAATATTCCAGCAATATCATGGCGGGGGACACAAGAAATGGGCTTCACACATTGTACCCATGTGGGGAATCGAACGCGGGTCTTCGGCGTGAATTAGGATTATAAGATCAAATGTAAAGACGTACATTGACTAGTATCTACATACTGCTGAGTGGACGTTAACCACGTGAATGTAGCAAGAATTTTATCGCGCACTATTGTCACTTCGACCCCCACCTCGCCTCCGTGGAAGAAATCGTTATGTTACAAGTTGTGTCATGCAAAATCCTTTTGGTCACGATTCAAATAAATATTTCACTACGAGTAGTTTTGATTTTCTAACTTGATGAAAACAAACCATAATCTCATTAATTCTTGAAAAGACTTTTGCTCGTGACGTACGATTTTTAAAAATGGCGGCGTCCTGTCGCGAACTTCCGACCGAGTTTCACCGAATCAAAACTACTTTGTGCTGGTAGTATAATATGTATTTAATTGATGGCCAATAGGATTTTGCATGACATAGCTTATAACATAACAATTTCTCTCTTGGAATATAATACTACTTACAATATTATTGTCACTTCGACCACAACATCGCTTCCGAGGAAGAAATCGTTATATTACAAGTTGTGTCATGCAAAATCCTTTTGGTCATCAATCATATACATATTTTACTACAACTAGTAAGTGGTTTTGATTTATTTTACTCGATCAAAACGTCGAGAAATAAGCAAAATGATGAGCGTGTTACACACTTTATATACAACTAACTGAAAAATCCTTCCTCACATTACGTCACTTCCGGTTCGTTGCAGTGCTCTGGCGACAGACGGCTTTTTGGCAACTTTTAATCGCACGGTATTAATTAACCACAAGTGTTTTAAGAATGAATTTGGTGTTCCGCTTAAAACTAACCACAAGTCTTTCATATGTAATGGTTAAAAGTGTACCAAAAAAGAAAGTTTATTCGTTCTTTAAGAATGTATTTCCGGTGCGAGTGTGTGAATGAATGAGTTTTGGCTGACGCCGCTTGAAAAGTAATGAATTCGTCCCTCAATGATGCGTTAGGAAACCCAACAATCACCCTTGCTGCTGAGAGCCATGAACATTGGCTTATTTCTGACAGACAATGGGTCAAATTCGAGTTGATTCTAGAAATAAACCAATTCTCAGTCTAATCAGTGCACGGAGGATGGATGTTTGTATAATGTTATACAGTCCAATTAGTTTGTTGATACTCGAGATTGTCCAGACGATAAAGACATGCCGAACGGCATCATCAAGAATCAACAATATTTTGAATGGATCGGTTAATGAGGTATGTAAGGTTATATGGCAATTACGCATAATGAAAATGGATCAAATAACAATCAAAGTACTTTCATCTTGATGAAACATTAATATGATGCTATTGCCTTTTTGCAATCTAGTGTGGGCTAGTTTCTTTTATAAAGATATTGGATAGGTGTGAAGCATCTGGTTTGATTAGAAATATTTGCATTGTCACAGTTAAAAAGAAACAAATCAATAAAAAGCTCCAGGAGTCCTTGCTGTTGCATAAGACCTCTGGCTGGCCAAGTTTGCAGGCGTAGTCTCGGTCAGGTTATTCAAAGACCAAGATGTGATGAGAACTCTCACCATTCAGATTGACAAAAAAAAAACAAAACAGGTCTTTGGTCTTAAGTTTTATATGACATTTTCAGCCTTATTCTGATGTGTTACATTTTTTTACATGTTTAAAATTTCAAAGCAATGTTGTCTCTAGCTATTTCAACAGATGCTCACAATGAGTCACTGTACCTTTTTATGAGGTGAGAAGACCTATACGAGTATGAATCAATAGAAATTGCTCTTTGGAATTCTTGCTCATAAGCCACCTCAGAAGTAGTATTAACTTGAATGTTCACAACATGACGAAAGTCCAATGTCCAAATCACCATCTGCACTTTTGACTTTATTTTTGATCCAGCTGGTCAATGGTCTAAAAGTGGTTTAAATCTCGAACGAACATCACAAATGCCTGCGGAATCAAAGCTTTGAAAGTGATAATTGAGTAGAATTCGTGACCGCAGAGACTGAAAATGAGAACTCGCCTAACATTTAATATAGATATATCTCCTTTAAGTATATTTGTATTGCAACAGTAAATGTATACTCGAATCCATAGTTTGTAAGTAATCATCTGTAAACTCAAACATCAGTGTAGGACACAGCTGATCACTAAACCATAGAGAAAATGTAAATGATTGATTGAGCTTCGACCCTGGATGTACAGAGGCTGGGTGAGGGATAACTATTTTCTTGGAAGCAATGTATTCGGGCATTTATTTCATGTGAGGTTCTTTTAACATGAATGCTACACGCATCTTGTGATTATATTAGATATTTTGTTTGCAAAAATGTTGAAACCTATATTTATGAGTTAGGTTATACTTTATGATGATCCGCGGATTTGTTTGATTACCTCTGCGCTCAGCAAATTTCCAGCTATATCACGGGTCTGTACTTGATGTCTAAATATATATAAAGCTATAGGCTGAGCATGAACATTTTGTTGATTATATCATAGCATTTCACGGGTTGTATATGGACTAAGATTCCTAATACTAAGACTAAGATGCGGAAGGACTGACTGACTATTATGTAACGTGTCGTGACGGAGTATCCTTGGGCAGAAATCGTCAACTTTTAATGCCGAGTGAGTGAGGCAACACCGTCCCTTCTTCATGCTGAAGGTTTCGGTTCCATTCCAATATGAAGTTGCTTTGAAAAGTCAATGTTTAGCGCTCAGACATTGCTGAAATCGACGTTAAACAATACTCACTCACTTGCATGTAAGATGTAATTTTAATACTTTATCAGAAACAATAGAAACTGTTGGAAGGTAGCCGCTTCTGCGTGCATTAGACACTGAACTAATGAACTATGTGATTCCATCTGTGTTGTAAATGGAACATGTTTACATCTGGCTGAACATCTGAATCCTTGTACGTGAAAACACGCACTTTACATTCCACCATGTATTTGAGCCTATAACATTGATGATGTTCATGCTAGTTTTAGACTCCATCTGTGATACTCTAGTTATTTTACAGTCCTTCGCTGACTGATTCTTTAGCAACTTTGATTTATTATTTATATAAAACATTTCTCGTCACGATATGGCTGCAATATTGCCGATGTGACGTTAAATCGTAACTCACTCACTCACTCACTATAACATTGATGACCCAGCTGTCTGCCAACATAACCAACTAATAAATAGACAAGTTTTTCGCGTATGTAATTCAACTCCCAAGGTCTCCCAGCCTGTTTCGAAGTAAGGGATGTTTGGATATTTGTCAAGTGTCACCATAAGTGTACACAGGTTTTAGTTATTCTTATATTACATGGCTTTGATCTTCATGTCAATATTTCAAACAGACCAGTGACAAAACTGAGAGCGATATGTACATTGAACACTGTTTGAGAAAGTAGAATGTTCTTATATACCATCTACAATTTCTAAATTTCACCCAGAGAAACGCTTTCACTCTTTGATCCTAGAATAGTCTGAATCACATGAACGTGTGCTGTGTGCTGTCAACAAAATCGCGTCGGACCCATTTATTTGAATATCCACACTTAAGTATATGTTATGTGTGGTGACCAGACGCAAAAACCGGTACTTTTGCCCTTCACGAATCTATACGAAGGTCGGTCAAAAAGTAGTCGGCCTCACCTAGAAAATGATAAAATACAGCTGTTTATGTGTGTTATGCTGCTACATATTATCTGCCAACCTAAAGCAAATTGATTTTGCTATGTTCCAGCCTCGTGATCCAAATTTTGTTTGACTTTTTATCTTGGTACCCCCCAAAAACGCAAACTCTGCAATAAGTGCATCACAAACCTCAGGAAACCAAATATGCAAAAAACATTGGTGTGTGTGAGATGGGTAGAAGTCTACTAGAATCAAACTTAGGTATTAAAGTGCATAAAAAAGCAGTTTGAAACTACAGTCACTTCTTTATGTGACTCTCCCCTTCATGTTTACTGGAAGAGCTTGTTTTGGAGACACTATCCACCTCTTTTCAGATCACGTAATCATAACGACATAACTTATTCTAATGTTCTCAATTATTCATACATGATGCCAAGGGTTCAAACTAAATACTGAATGGTCACACTAGTGTCAGCTCTCAATATATTGTAAACACGGCCAGTTTGAATGGGAACTCTTCCAATACTATACTGAACATATTTTATATGATATTATCTGAGGACATACCATTATCCAAGAGGTACCAAATAGCAGATAGCTTTTCTTTTTCTGCATTATTTAGAAATATTATACCCCAATGTGTTGTGATGACTAATATCTCGGGAACCATATTACCTACATATGTGACATTTTGGATATCGCTTTGCTAATGATTCCTTCAAGTAAAAGAATGAAGTTTTTCAAACATTAGACATCGATAATACAGTAAGGCCGACTATGTCTTGATCGACCCACGTAATAAGGACAATATTTCAGGCAAAGGTTGTATATTACGATGGTGTTGCTTCAGGAATAGTACAGGTCCGTTTTGACAGAAATAAAATGCTGAAGGGTCTCAACCATAGTTCTCATTCAGCAACGGTGACACAGGCATGTACAAATATATTAATGCACATACTGATTATTTTAGAATATAAAGGGATATCTTAGTCAATAGAAGCGCGAAACATTCCTTTCTATAGTCAGACGAAATCTCACTAAAAATGGAGTCGTTTGTATAGTATTGATGATCTCATGCCTTTTGAAACACTAATGAAGGGTGAAGAAATGTTCAAGAAAAGGTGAACGCATCTGTTCCATCTGTGGCACCCGTCAAATCTCATGTCAATAGCGAAATATATCAACGCCTCTTACGGCTCACGAATTATCCATGTAATCCCCGAAAATGGACTTGATAATATTATGTTTTCAGCCCCTGAAGCAATTGAGAAAAAGAATAATACCCACATTCCTCTGTCCTAATAACATAAGAAGAACTGGTGTAACAGGCCGATGGCAATAGTCAACAGGTTTCAAAGTAACGCTTTAGAACGAAAACGTGAAGTGTTACAAGTGTGTGTGAGCTGCTTGTCATGTGAAGTCGACTTCACCTTACTATGTCAATCTACATTTAGATCCATGTGAGAAAGCTTCGGGGCCTAACTTGTATTTTTCAGACTGATTCACGTCAGTCTGTAGACACAACAAAGGCCACGAAGAAACAGATTTGAAACAGAGTTTTACAGAGTACAGGAATGTCTCTTTTTCTGTCGGAAATTGTCAAATCAGGTTGTAATTCAGTATTCAAGTCTTGTATTTCAGTCCTTCCACCGCCATCGGAAGAATGTTACTTTTTCGTCTGGAATAAATCTTAGCAGTATGGAACATTCCGAGATTTGATTAAACATCCTCTTGGAATCGCAGCTTAAGATATAACTAAGGGAAACTCATTATTACTTGAAAAAAGATCCCGGAAATTTAATTTCAGAAGTTTGTCAATCAATAGGAATAATATTTGCTTCTTCTGAATTTCTGCATGTCCGGAAGGCCTTGAACCATGAATCTTGTGTTTTTGTGTGGCTATTGAATGGCACGTCGTTGAGTTCTAAATATTTCTGAATGAAATTGGATCCACAGGGAAAGCTGTGTACAGATGTTGGTCCAACAAGGGCATATTAGGTATTAAGTCTGCCACCCGTATGAATCCCAGCAAAGCCTCTTTTCACGTCACACAATTCAGACACCTTTCTATTGCTGACCTAGAACATATATAGAGAGGCGTTTTAAGGATAAACGCCCAGAGGCCCTCAGCTCAAAGATTACACAGTTCACATTGAATCACGAGTCTACTTTGCTATCATTGCACACTCTTGAAGTTTTTGCGTCCGCATTCTTGAGGTAAAACTGCATGAAACAAAGTTATCACTAAATACCAGGCAGAAACTATGTGTCGATACTAGTCGACGTTAGAACTGTGTCGTCAGTATGGAGGTGAATTCGAACAGTATCAGCTGAGGGTATATTTCAAAATCATGGAACTACTTCTGTGTACTCATGCATTTAACATCATCATATAAAACTATACTTTCAGCAACAATAATCGCGTGCACAAATCATGAGTGAATTCAAAGTGGTTTCTAAGAAGGACCATATTTGGAAATGTAGTTTGTTTTCGTTTGTTGTTTGACAGTAAGAAGTCAAGCAATGTCAAATATCGCATAGTAAGTATGTTTAACTCAGACTTGAACAGAGCCATTATGACCGGACCCATATAGATACATAAAGGTACCTTTGACCTTTCACAGTCAAGACGGCAATATTTCATGACATTATCCAGATCACCTTATTGGAGGAGTGAGACGCTAGACCCTATTCGCTAATATAACATATTGTCTAGACGGATTTCAATCTTAATAAGCGGAGCGAAAAGTTCTGACTTTAATTAACAATCAGTCTCTGTATGTAAAGTACTGTCGGAAATAGAAAAAAACCCTGTTTTTAGGCTGTTACTATGTATCCCTAAAATTTACAGAATTGTAAATAGCATATGTCGAAATATCCAGTAGAATGTGCAATAGGATATCCAGAAAAGCATGTTTACTCGTAAAATTGGCCCCTAATTAGAAAAAATACCAATAGCTGCTGAAAACAATACATCAGGTTATAGATGGCAATTAGGTCACTCAGCCAGGTATGACGAAGGACCGTCGACTCACCTGGCATGAAATGCATGTGCTGCTTACGGGCACAAGGAGTCATCTCAACGATATTTTATGCTTTCTTATGTGTGTTGAATATGTCTCATCTATTGATTGACATCTTACGTGTCTTTCTTTCACAAAGTTTATGTGGAGATATGTAAAAGAGGATGATACCCATAGAAAAGCTTAAATCAGCCTTCGTATTAACTGTCTCAAAATATATAGGTGGCATGACCACCCGATGATCGACAGGATTGGATAGTATTTGTAAATTGTTATGACATGCCGTTTGCTTCCCCAATACATTTCCCTAAAGGATTATCTTATCTCATCTGATATCTCTATCACCCAGTCCGACCCCAACCACCGCCTGTGACACCCGTCCTGACACACCGTTTGAGACGACCCCTCCAACCTGTATCTTTTTATAGTGATAGTGAGACTCCATGGTAGCTACATCCTTAATAGTTTCAGTACTAAAGTTATTATTGTTTACGTCAGCTATCGTTTATAATAAAGATCAGTTTATTTTGAAATGGGCATTTAAAAAGTGTCCTTTGCAATACAATATCACCGCACACTAATTTGCATTAAGTCATGGTCTCTTCCAAATAAGTCGCTTTGGACTCTACAAAAGCCACATTGCTTATTTCTGCACTAGTCTCTCCTCAGTAAAGTCCTTTTTCTACGTTTCCTATCTCTCTACCGATGAGTCTGTAGTTAGGCCGAACTTAGGTTAACAGATATTTCACACTTTCACATATTAACTACATAAATTGTAAATTAATATAAATGCGACAAATCAGGGTTTTTTCTATTTCCGACAGTACTTTAGTATTTTCCACTCCTACCAAAATGAAACAATCGTATCCCATCCATGCCGAGTCCTTCAGATGCTAGCGTACGAAACTTGCTGACAAATATATCTTCACGTCGTAAGTAAAAAGGCTTAAATAAAGTGTCATGTCATGTTGTTGTAAATGTGAAGGTATTAAAGTATGAGTGCTATGTTTGTATAACTGTTATGAAAAGGCAAAATGTGACACTAAGATTTACAGTCAATCTGTTTTGGTGTAATGTAAAAATTGAAATGCGAGAAAGAATAATCATCAGTAACATAGCTGGCCATTGAAGGGTTAATATTTATTGATGATATTTAAAGGAAACGGGGTCAAACGTACGTTTTAGTGAATTACAAAGGCTGTTTGCGAATATTGTTTGAAAAGAAAAACGAGATGAGATGCATACTGATTTTCCAACATTACAAGTATTTATTTCATTAAGGCTGTTTGCGAATATTGTTTGATGTGACGTTAAATAATAACTCACTCACTCAATGATTCAGACCCGTGACGCTGTGAGAGAAGAATTGATTTTCAGCAAACCATGCTTGTTGAGGCGACTAACGGGATCGGGTGGTCAGGCTTGCTGACTTGGTTGACACATGTTATCCATCTCAATTGCGTAAAATAAATGCTCACGATGCCAGTCACTTGATTGTCCGGTCCAGACTCGAGTATTTACAGACAGCCGCCATATAGCTGAAACATAGCTGGACCAACAAAAACAAATACACACGTGTCCAGTATTACCATTTAATGTCTTTCGCTTGAAAACTAACATAAAGGAAAGCGATATAGGTCAAGAACACATAGTCATATATATTTTGAGGAACTGTTTCAACAAACTATATGATACTGAATAATGGGCGCATATGAACATGTCATGCATGTATGATATACGCAGCTATTTTCAAAGCATTTTATAAGTGAGATGCAAGGTTTAACGGATGTGAGTTTAGATGCACTCAGCAATATTTCAACTATACGAGGTTGAACGGATCTCAATATACAGCCATGTGTTAGAGAAGCACGTGCACAAGTGACGACAAAGTTATTGATTCATTAACCTGTGCTGTGCCGTCTCCATCCTTTCTCGCACACCTGGCTGTCCCTTTCTCTGCACTCCTCCCTCGTAACAAATAGTGAACTGTGTCAATATTTTAATGATAGTTTGTTAAACAACTTTTTTATTTTTAGGACATAAATTCTGCAAAAACCACACATAGTTAGTCTGATGTTTTTATTATGATCAGTGTTTCATTGAGTATTTTATGTTTATTAGTTTTCGAGTTAGATTGCAATTCATCGGTCCGCTTTTGAGCCAAACGGACTGCATGTATATCATAAACTTTCCTCCTTATTTCGATGTTATAAATTAATGCATTAGTTATGCATTGATGTCACATGCAATACTGACTTTCGCTAACATAAATTGCAGCTAAATTTGCTATCTGTAACTTCTTCAAATATAAGCGAAATTGGTATATTGAGAAAGGAATGGATCGATCTAGGGCGTCCATTTGATAGTGACAGAATACTAATGGTTTTTCACTTAAGACATACTAACTTCTAAACGCCATAACCACAAGAAAGAGTCCCAGTTGAATAGAATGATGAGAATAAACCTTTATCATACACGTTATAAAACCGTAAGAAATATTTCTTAAAAGCAAATCTCATTGTCACAATATCAACATGCAACTGGGTTTCCAAATAAAAGATAACATTAGACAGGCTCCAACTGCATGATCACATTACGGTGTACATTTTCTGTGTAAGACTCAACCCAAAAACAAATTCTGTTGAATGAACTCTTCCTGAATGCTGCCTATACATCTGTGTGTTGAGGGCTCGGTGTCAACATTCAGACTGATGAGCAAACACAAGCCTAACAGTTAGCAATGATCAACGCAGCCAGACTGGCACTAACTATATAGTCCTATATGTAACAGTATCGTGTACTCATGACACGTACCATGTACCTCTTGATGAATACAATGAATAGATTCTCTTTGATTGAGTTTGTTTTAAGCCAGACATTGATTACATTATTCCGTCGCTTTCACGTCAACTTCAAATGTGCATCTTACTGGATTGCTTTCGTACATTGGAACGTATCTAATGAAGATGTGACTCAGGGCATGTTTTATTGTATATACCTAATGATGGTAACTGGGAGACAAACAGAGACAAATTGAATACAGTGTGTCAACAACAAGTCGAATCATACAGAACGACTCAATTCCACAAGGTTGGTGGTGTCAATGTTTCAGTGCAAATGGCAACTCTGAATGGCCTGCCTTAGCGTTTACCTTTGGCTCTTACGTTAACTCACTAGACTTGATCATGTAAATATCAAAGTCACTTGGCTTGATTATTTTCAAAGATGAATT